TTTTTATAATAAAATTTATAATGAATTTTAAGTAAAAATCAAAAAAAATCGATAGGTTTAATAATAAAAATTTATGTCAAAAATTAATTAAAATTGTTTAAAATTGCAAGCAAATTTGCCTGCAATTTTTTACCATTAAAGGGATAGTAAATAATATTAATTTATTAATTTGATTTATAATTTAATTTATTTTTTACGCTGGATTTAATTTATATTATAGCATATATGAATAAATTCAATATTTAATTTATAAAGTAAATTTTTTTCTAAATAAAATTATGAAATATTATTATTTATTAGTTTTCATAAGTATATTGATATTAAATCGTAATAAGCAGAAAATATTTTATTTTATACATTTTCTTTTGTTAGTATTTATTTAGTAACAAATGTATATTTGTAAATTCAAAAATAAAAATAAAAAATATTGAAACAGCAAAGGTTAAAAGTTTTTATTATAAAGTAATTATATATTATATTTATTATACTATAAATGATACTAATATTAAATTAAATATATATAATATTCATATATTTAATTAAATAAATATTGATATTAAATCTTGATGTATATAAAAAAAAATTAATAAACAAAAGTAGTTATAATAAAAAAGTTAATAGCAAAACAATATGATGTAACTCTTAATGATTACACTCATATAAAATAATTATTAATAGTTGAATATAATAATAAAAGTTCTTAATATAATAAAATATTTAAAGAATTAGATTTGTAATACTGATGTTTTTAATCAAATGTATTAACCTTACTCTTATAACATAAGATTTGAAAATTTGAAGTATTGTTGTTTATTATACATAAATTATAAGAATTATAGATTAAAAAAACGTTTTACTATTACAATTTGTTTATTTTTATAAAAATTGGATTATATATATATATTATTTAAAATTAAAGCTATTAATCATTAAAAAGAATGATTTAGACTAAAATATATTCTATTTTAAACAATTTTGAATTTTAAGATATTTGAGATTAATCTATTTGTTTTATAATAAATATCTTTATCTAAACTTTTAATAGATTCTTCTAAACTTAATAAAATTTAATTAAGTTTCAGATTTAAGAAAAAATATTTTAAAGATTTTGAAAAAAGTTTTTGAATTTAAACTACATATTATTAAATAATATTATTAAATAAATGTCTATATTCTGAATTTTTTATTATTATAAATTTTGTAAATTTTATGAGTGATCCTAAATTTTATTAAATAAAATAATTGAATACAACGAATTTTTATAATTTAAATATTAAAATAAAAAGTTTTTTAATAATTATCAAAATAAAAGAAATTATATAATTTGTTAATTACATTTTTAATTATAAAATCATAATTTATGTATATAATATATATTAAAGAAAAAAATTTAGTTCTTTTTATTTAACTATTATGATAAAATATAATATCAATTAAATAGGTTGAAAATATTTTTATTGAATAAATTAAGATCACTGATTTTTTTGTAAATTTATAATAGAATACATAAAAATAAAAAAAAAATAAAAATAAAAACTATTTAAATAGTTTTTAAAAAGATTTATTGTTTTTATTTTGAAAAAAAAATATTTTTAAAAAAAAAAAAAATTAATTAAATTTAATTTAAAAGTTATTTGATTTTATATTATAAATTAAATTAAAAATTATTATTATTTTTTATTTTTATTAATCTAATTGTACAATTTTTAATATTCTAATTAAAATAATTTATTATTTGAAAATGAAAAAATATTTTTATTATTTAATAATTTATATTATTATTTTAAATAAAAAATTTTTCTAATTTTTCTTTATAATGATATTTTAAATAATCAATTTATATATTTCTTTATAATAATTTATATTATTCTAATAAATAAATTTTGTATTTTTTTAAAATTTTATCATTTAACTAAAAAAATTTCTAATTAAATTAATTAATAATTAGATATTAAATGTATTTTTTAATTCAATTTAAATATAAATTAGATAACTTTTTAATTGGATTTTAATATATATGTTATATGTTAAATGTCAATTTGTCTCAAATGTTAATTGACTTAAATTACAAACCTATTTTTATAATGTTTGAGCAGCATAACTGATGATCATCTTATAGTTAGTATCCCATCGACATTTGAACCAAATCAATACTTAAGATACAACATAAATATGAATTTTTGATTTTAATCAATATATGCATGTATTTTTGTATTATTCTGATTTACAAAAAGTTCTAATTTAAAATCTTTAACAAACAAGTATGTAATTTGCTTAACCAACTAATAAGTAAAGCTTGCATTATAAACGTAAAATTAAAAAAAAATATTATTAAATTTTACTAAAATATATTCTGTATGTAATGAGGATAAAGTAACAAAATATTAAATCATTTTATTTTTTTAATAAAAATATAAAAAAATAAGTAGAATAAATTAATATTTCTTATTTAAATAAGTAACATAAATTAAGTAAAATTAATATTTTTAATTGTTTGCATACTAATAATGATCCCCTTCTGTAAAAATATTTAATTTTTATTTTAAAAAAATTAGTTACAGTAAGTATATTATTATATTTAATAAATTTTTATATTAATAAAAATTTTAATTTATTTTATTTTTTCTAATTTTAAATATTTTAAATTAGTATTGTATTAAATTTATATTTAAAATTGGTATCTTTAATATTTATTATAATTTATATATTTCAATATATTATAAAATGTTATATTTAATTATATTAATTATGTGTTTGGATGTATTAAGCATGTTAAATCTTGATTTCAAATGTCTTGACATTTGCAAAGAAAATCGGATTACTTTAAAACAAAGTATGTCTGTATATAGATAATTTTATTCATCTGGAATTACACTATCCATGAAAATGATACAACGAAGGTAATTTCACTGTGTTACGCAAACGAATGAATCTATCTTTACCTTTTAAACTATAAATTTATTAGTTATATAAGTCTTACCTTTTAACTCACATTCTTTGCGCATATTTCTTTTTTCAAATACTAAAACCCTCACAAAAATATTTGTTTTATTTTTAAACTGCCGTCTATTACAAATATTTATTTTAATATCGAAAAACAACGAAACATTTTAATAATTTCTAATGATACACCTAATTCAGAATTTTTCATTACGCAATTTCAGCACGATATTTTCGAGTTCTCTAATGCGAGGCCTAGCTGAAGGATCTGAAGTCCAACACATTTTAATCACATCGTTGTACACACGAGAAACATTTTCATTTAATTTTGGCCTTTCTCCTTGACAAATCCTAATAGCTAAATTTGTATCATTTGATTCGTCTTTAAATGGAATTTCCCCAGTACTTAATTCGCACATTACAATGCCAATACTATAAATATCCGAGGCTTGAGTATATGGTTTACCTCGTAGTACTTCAGGTGCTATATAAGGCAGAATGCCATAAATGCCTTCCTTTTCATTCGGAACATTTACTGGTCTTGTTAGACCGGATGTAGGAAGATAAGCGATTAACGATTTATCTTGTCCGTTCGAATGATCGGTTTGTGAAGAATCTCTGCTTGAAAGAAGGATGTTTTTGCTATGGATATCTTTATGAATAAACCCTAATTCATGAATTGTTTTTAGATCTTGGAGAAATGAGGACAGAATTGAAAGTTTTTTGTCCCAATCCAGTAAAGTAAATTTACTGTCAAGGTAATCATGTAAATCGCCCATTTCCGCGTATTTTATTACGGAAATAAATTCATTTTTCGTAGGATCTTTTGTAATTCCATAAATTGGCAGGAATTTATCGGGAGACTTTTCATAACAATCATAATGGTATTGAACCTTTCATTATTTTTTTTGGTGAAATTATTAAATTTATCAAGAGAAAAAAAAAATCATTAAAATATTGTCAACCATTTTTACATACTTGGTTCAAGATGGTGGTAGATAATTCCGATTTACTTTTTTTCCAATCAAGTAATGTTTTAAGCACAACGAGTATAGGACCATTTCTTCTTCCTTTATTAATCGGTCCTACTTTCCATTTTGCTTTGAGAACATTTATAATTTCATTTTGTGAGATAAATTTTACATCTTCAAATTGATTATAAGGTATCCATTCTAAATATTGTGAATTTGAACTTTGCCGAGTTTTTGAAATAAAATTATCAAGAATTTCAATGCCTGAAGTTGTCATTTTATTTTTAAAAAAAATTTTTTTGAAAAAAAAAGAGAATGCGTACTTTATTAGTATTTATAAAAAGAAGTATTTTAGGATTTACATGTGATTTCATGGCTTATCATTCCAAATTCAGATTATTTGTTTTGATTACTCGATTAAAAAGTGTCAATTGGAAATGACTCGTTTGTAATTAATCAAATGTAACATTTATTAGAGAAAATTTATAGAATGAAAAATTTTCCACCTTAAAATTATTTTACAAGAAATAATATACAAACTTACAATAAAAAGAAAATTATTGAACATTATTTGTTGACAATGTTTTTTTTGTTTTTGGATAAATGCTTAAATTTTTTTTTTTTTTTTTTTAGCAGAAATACTGTAAGATATATTATGTGGTTCGTTAAAATTGCAACCTGTTTTAAACTTTTAATTCTAAACTTCATATTATAACAACGTTCGATTCGCGTTTTTAAATATTTTTTTTTCCCGGAGAATACTTTTTTTTTATATCAATGAAATCCCGCGGTCCCGTTTCTAACAACCTTGACGAGACCCACAACAGGTCTTACGTAAACTGCATACAAGACAGAAGTAGCGATACTAGCAGATACGGTAATAGTGTTGTATAATGGATTAACCACCAATGTATTTACAAGGGTGTGTTTCGTATATGCTTCTCGTCTCGATTGATTCTCCTCTCCATCGTGTTGTGCTACAATTAGATTTTGATCTTCGTGACTTATCCTTAATTGGGCAATCTCCCTGCTTTGTGTTAAATACAATTGTGGATTCCCACCAGCCCTGTTAATTTTTTTTAAAAAAAAGAAATAATTCGTTATTTGGTTAATTTACGTATTACTAAAACAAAAAAAAAGGACAATTTTTTTTTTTATAAAATTCATGTTAAAAGATAAAAGCTTACGCACAACTGTCCCACGATTGATTTTAGATAATTTAACTCTTCGTTTTGTTGATCGATTTTATTTTCTAAACGTTTAATAGTATCCTCAAATATTTTTCCAACATATGTACTATCCAATTCTTCTTTTGGTTGATTTACTTTTGATTCTAAACGTTGCATGGTTTCTGACATAAGTTGAGAAACATTCATTTGCTGTTGCATAATTTGTTCCATCGAGTTTAATTTGCTAATTTGACTACTTTGTTCTGCGACTCTAGTCTCAAGGTTTGATTTGGTATTAGTAAGCGATCTATTCATCTCTTCAAGTTCTTGCAACTATAAAATTAGGTTATATTTAGTTATGAAATCGCGCAATCGTGATGATCATCAATAAATAACGAAAGAATAGTATTTACCTTTTTCATAACTCGTTCGTCAAGGGAATTGTGTGAATTGTTTTCTTTGATAGATTTATCTTGAAATGGATTTAGAGTTGAAAGCGAAAATGGTTTTCTATTTGATGATTTCTTTTCGACCTGATCTTTATCACCAACTTGCGCGGTAACAGTGCTAGTGATAGTTGCGTTATCCTGATTTTGTCTTTCAACAATTTTTACGGTTGTGCTATCGATGTCCCTTTCTCGTTCTTGAACATCGGGGGTGATATGTTTAACGTGCGTTGTATTATGAATTTCATTAATGGATGAAATAACAAGAGGTTTAACATTCATTGAATTTTTAATCTCATTAATACGGGTCAATCTATCGGAATCTGATTTCGATCCAACGGTCGAATCGACAAGAGAATGATGTTCTTGTTGTGGTTTCTGCACTTCTCGTTGTACATCCTCAAATGAAACTTGTTTTTGATTATTGGAATCATTAAAGATTTCAATGAATTCAGATTCGTGTTGTTCGGAACGAGTGACAATGAGTCTAGGAGTTTTTGGAGTGGTAGGAGAATTTTGTTCACTTTCGATTTCTTCATTTTCTTCAGAGATGGGAGGGTGATAATAAGATACATTTTCTCCATTGAATTCGGTTCTTCGTTGATTGAAACTGATATTGTTGTTAGAAGAAACCTCTTTATAATCCTCCTGATCGTTAACGGAACTGGGTACAGTAGATGAAGAAGAATTGGTTGATCTGAAATCATCATTCGGAGATGGAGATTCGTCGGAAGTCACCTCAGAATTGGTGTTTTTCTTTTTTGACGGGATGTCTTCAAGTTTACTGATAGGGTTAGGGATATTAACGTTATCGGTACCAACAACCGTGGATAGAATATCACGAGGAGAGCTAACAGGAGATTCAACATAAGATCCATCCATAATATTGGAGAGTTGTTTATTTTTAAAGGAATTTGTAGAACCACCTTGAAAATAATTTCTCGTTGGACTTTTTGGAGTCCCAACGGTTTCACCAGGTTCAAGGAAAGTATCATCCCATATAGTTGGTTTATGAGAAGACTTATTCCCGTCTAAACCCAACATTTTACCAATGTTAAGACTGAGACGATTCTCCTTTTTTGAGGTCTTTTCTTTTTCCACGTCAGAGGTACTGTTTTGTCTAGATTTTCTACCCTTCTTAATATTGACATCCAAATCAAGTTTATTATTGTCATCTTCATTATCAGAGAAGAAGATGAAGCTGCGTCTATTCTTTGTCTTATCACTATTTGATGACGTGCGAGAAGTTGGACGCAAGAATTTTTCGCTCTTTTCGCTATCACTTCGTTTATTATCTTTACCAAATATTCCCATCGCCGATAAAGAACGAACCAAACCTTCAGATTGAGGTTTATCTTTATCCTTATCATCCTTATCATCTTTCTTACTATTGAACATACGCTTAAAGCTATTACGCTTGCTCCGTTTAGTTTTTTTTTCTTCTTTATTATCTTCAACAGCGATCAAATCATTCTTTTTTGATTCTTCAACAAAGGAAGAATTTGAAGAGGTATAACCTTTTGAAGTTTCAGAGGAATTATCCATTTCATCATCATCAGAAACATTATTATTATTATTTTGATAAACTTGTTCAGTCATGGCACCATTATTAGTTTCATAGGTGGTCATTTTTAAACAAGGTAGATGATATTTATTTTTATATATATATGATATTTTAATTAGATAATGAAATTTTCTTTTCTTTTTTTTGGGGGGTGAAAAATTTTTTAGAAAAAAATATATTTTTTTTTTATTCAGTGTTGTGGAGATAAATTTATATAATAACGAACAAAGTTACATTATTTGACATTAAATGCAATGTTCTACCACATATATATTTAAATAGTATATATTTTTACCCATAAAAAAAAAGGTTTTTTTTTTTTATTTATGTTGTTATACAAAACAAAACAAATAAAGAATTTAAAAAAAGAGAGTTCCAGCCACGAATTAAAAATGTTCAAGATTGACAATCCACAGATAATATAAACAGAATATCCGAATGCGTTGATGATAATTTGTTTTTATTGGCGGGAGTTTGTTTACCTTTATAACTTTGATGTATTAAAAAAACACTTCTATAATCAAACCTTAATAAACGTGACGTGTGGTTGAAAAAAAAAATTGGATGTTCGAAAAATTCGGGTAAAGCGAAAGCGAAGCGAGATGAATGAAAATTTAATTTTTTATTTTTAAACTTGGAAAAACAATATGTTATTATATAGTATCATTTCATGAACTTCCAAATATTTATTTTTATCAGATATAATGGCGTTTTTGTAACCATTGATAAAGCTTTTTTTTATACTTTATAGAGTAAAAAGCTAAAAAAATTTTTGTTTCAACTAAAATTTTATTTGGGAATTGAAGGAATTAATTAGGAAATGTTTTATTTAGGTTAATTTCATTTCAATAAAGGAAAAAAAAAAATACTTGAAACGTGAGGAGTAACATTATTCTATGGCTGAGCATTGACCACTTATGATTCTTTTTCTGAATGCTCTTGTGACATTGAATGTGTGTGGGAATTACAAAAGGGTTCCTATTAAAATTTTCTTTTTATGTTAAGCTATTTGAAGATCCTTGCCAATTTAATAGAGATTAGACACTAGGTAGAAAATTCTGCTGTATCTGTCATATCGCAGATTACAACTTTTGCGGCGGGTACTTTTATTTATTTTTTAATTTTTTTGAACGGTCGTTCTTTCGCTTATTTCTATTTCAAATTACTTTGTTACTTATATTTGCTATGCTCGATGACAATTCTTTTTTTTTACATCTGTATTAGTTGCGTCATCGTACAAGGTTCATCATCCTATTAAAAAAATAAGAAAAGGTTTAAGTTTTGGGCGTAAATGGTGATAATTTTTTTTTTTGATATTTTGTGATACAATCTCGATAAAGCTTTATCAATAAAGTTAATTGACAACTCATGTGAAAGGGGACGATCTCAAACAATATCGATTTTTTTTAAAAATAAGGTCGATAAATAAATATTGTTTGTGCGCTCGTTAAAAAGGTAGTTGAAGTAACCAAAAATGCGACAGCACGAGAATTTCTAACACGTCGAGGTAAAAAAGATTCTCGTGTATGCGTGAGAAATCAGTTTTTATCATTATGCACTCCCATCATGCGACGAATGAGATTTCACGGATTTTCCATTCGAGAATCAGATGTTGAACATTAATGTACAGTAACTTCTTTACATTTTCTACATTCTGATAACAAGAAATTAATCAAATTTGGTTAATTTTGGATAGTTTCAATTACAAAATCGAGTTTATAACAAGCAATAAAAAAAATCATCCATCATAAACTTCCTAGAAAGAACGTAAAGAAAAAAAAATTATAAATAAGTGACACGAGCACGTGGAATAAATTTATTTGAGTTTGAAAATATTCAAGTTCGTATGGGCGGGATTAACATCAAATTCTGGCTGAAATTGACTATATCTGACATATTGTATGGCATGGCATTCACTTTTCAAGAAAATAATCTTGATTTCACGATAATCAAAAAAGAACCTTTTCTTGACTATTTTATCATCAAACATACAAAAACTTTATTCGGAGTTTTTTAACACGATAATGATGTGGCACAAAGAACATCACTGACTTAATGAGAGAGTAAAAGCAGTACATCCGAAAAAAATTTTCCCTTGATTAATGATGACTACTACCGATTCCCTTTTTTGAGATCAATTAAACCAAATATGGTTTGTTCGAAAGGAAGGTTTTTAAAAAAATATCGCATAAATCTTTTTGTTTATAAAATATTTTAAAATTTTGGTATTGAAGTTTTTAATTATCAATTACAATTTAGATCACATTTTTTAAAGTGAGCAATGAAATGTAATAAAACCTTTTACTTTAAATATTAACGGATTTAACTCGGGATTATCTTTATACGTAGCATGTGAACGCAGAGCAGGAAAAAAAAAAATAGATAGGCATTACCATTGAGCCTTTTGATCAGGGCTAAAATTTGAGATAATCTGATCTGTTATCGCGTCAAAATTTTTTGAAGTTTCACCCAACATTTTTGGCATTTGTTCAATTACATGTGACCCTTTTTTTTTGTAATAACGATAATCGAAATTACAAAAATGGAAATGTTTATTATCGATCTTTGAAAGTTAATTTTTACTTTATTATGTTATTGTTTTATTATACAATGAAATGTTTATTTTTACAAACTTGTTGCTTCATTTGAAAAAAAAAGATTTTTTTTTTTTTGGACTAGAAATTTAATTGCCATAAATTCAGAAAAATAAGACAGATTTTATTCAACGAAAAAGAAAAATTCAGTTTGTCGGGAATTATTTTACTTCAAAAGACGTTAGTAATTAGATTAGATTGCATTTGTTGTTGACATTAGATATACCTGCATGACTTTTACATCATAGGCTTGAGAATTCCAAATCTTAAATATTTTAAATTGAATGAATATAATTATATCGGTTGATTACTAGAAAAACAAGTTCCAAGAATTTTTCAACAAATTCATTTTTAGTTTTTTTTTTTCTAGCAATAATCCCATATTTAATTATATAATAAATTATCGGAACAAAATCATAATAAGGTTTTATAATCAAAAGCCAATTAAAAGAATAAAATATGTGCTTCAACTAAAAAAATGCAATATAATGTATATACTACCTACTGAAATGGGGGAAGTAAAAAAAAATAAAAATAAAAATGACTAAACTTTTGATTCTACGATTAATTCGCAACCGAGTTTTATAATATATATATATAAAATAAATAAATCCTTATCCGATATACATTAAAACGTATAAATTTAAATATTTTAATGAATCTTCTCTTGTTGATTCAATTACTTCCTTTATAGTGATTGTTATGCTAATGATCAGCGATTCAATAGTCCGATTGACTATATCACGAAGAACTAAGTAATCGGCTGTTAAATTATCTGAGGTAAGATATTTTATGAGCCTTGAAATGAACAGGCGAATTAGAAAGTCCTAGCTGAAGTTGCATAAAAAAACTTTTAAAATTAATTGGAATGAAATCACGCTTTAATAGAAGAAAATGTGATTCGCACTTCACAGCACTAGTATTATTATCTTATTTCAAATTCAATAGAGGAACTTCTCTGTCTTTATTAATATTATAAAGCAGTCTACTATTTTAACTCGTACTTTATGTTACTACCCCATTACACGCCTGGGAATTTCCTAGAACAAAATAAATTAAAATAATAAATTTCTGGTGTAACAGATATTTTGATGTCCCAATACATTCGACTATCATTCAATTAACTTGAATGGTTCCGAATATCCTGTAATGTTATCGTTGTCTTCATCCCAGACGCTTGCTTTGCAGGTAACGCCAATAAGATCAGGATCATCAGAAAGATCAACCGCCTTTATTCCGACCGTAAAGGGCTCCTGTATTATGTGAATGAAATGTTAACATTCGAACTATACGTGGGCTGTAAGCATGTAAGCAATGGAAGGAATACTTACTCTTCTAACAGCTTTTGGCGGAAACTGTCTCTTGCCGCATCTGATACGGACACTAACGTTATCTATTAAGGAAAAAAAAATTTTTTTTTTAGAGATATATGTTTTTTTGCAACAGACATACGACGATTGCGGAAGACATACCGGTGGTTTTGAGGCCTTTGGGAATTTGCGAAGTATCCCATTTCACGTCCACCGTACTACCGATTTTTTGATCCGTAGTGGGAGACGTGACCACGATATCATCAAGCGTCGCAACCAAAGAAGTCAAAAGAGTCACGACCAGAAAGGTTACAAGAGATTTCTTCATGTTTTTGTTTCGACGAGTGTATAATAAGTAATTACTTCGAATTATTATTAATGTATGTTTACTTAAAAAATCCCTCCTTTTATAAGAAAAGCATTCTGGATCGTCCGGGACCTTACGAACGTTAAATAGATTTATCATATTTTTTTTTAGCGGACATTTGTTCGTCCATTCCAAGAAAAAAACATTTTTAATTCAAACTATATCTTTTCAATCATTTTTTTTATGTACAGTGTTATACATATAAGGCAAGTATCAGGTTTAAAGGTTAGTATTCGGATAGGCGGAAAGGGTTGATTTAGGAGTAAAGAATACCATACTTGGTTTCTATATTGTATATACAATGTTTTATGCTGTACAATATTAAATGATCGTTGCCCAGTTAAAAAAATGGGGGAGGATAATATTTTATGCGTTAAGTAATCCAGTCACGAAATCATATATATGATGCTGGAAATTTGACAAAATTATTGCACACATATACTGAGGCTTCTAATATGCAAGATTTTTAGCGTTAAAATTTATTTAAGGGGCGAAACCTCTTATAATTAGAGATCAAATAGTAATAAATTATTTTCCGTTTGACAAAAAGTATCGTATTGTTTTAAATGTATTTTACAAGAGGTCGCATTTCTGATAAGGAAATATACATGTTTATCAAGCTCCCAAGCGAAGAAATCATAGTTGATGTCTCGATAAGTTCGGCTGTACAGGTAAGGATTGGATCCACAATTTTTTGATGGATAAGGCCATGTCATACTGGACTAATATATTCTTCGGTAAATGCAACCTTATGGTGGCTACCATCAAAAGAAAATGGAATTGTTTTGTGTATACGAAGCATTGTGCTGCGAAGCTTGTAGCATTTCCTTTTGTGTACTTTTCATTTTGTTTGATATTTTGTCATGTGAGATTGCTATAGCAATATCCAATAATTCTATAATGATCTTTTGTAGCTCGTTGGATTCCTCTCAATAAGACAAATCTAATGGTAGTTTCTTCATAAGGATTGGAATGATGTTGACCAAGTTGTCAAATTTTTAATTTTGTTAATTAAAAATCAGGTTGGTTCAATCCTTAAAACCTGACCCAAATTTTCAGATTGGGTCAGATTGTATCGAACCTTGATTTTCAGCCCATATCTTGAATGATTAAGAAATACAAAGTAAAATTTACAAAGACCATTTAATCAAAGGTTGTGATCATAATGGAACTCTGCTGAAAGATGTTCAACAGCTTAGTTTTATTAGATGAATTTCCTACTAGGTGATAAATTGTATAATTTAACGAATCAAAATTATCAGCGCATAATTGATCTTATGCTTTTTAAATAAAGATAAAGAATCTGGTTTTTTCAAATCAGTTTTTAATCCTACTTCTAGAATAATAGAGTGAGTTGAAGGATGGTTTATAGGTTTATTTATTCTTCGGTTCATTAGAAAGCAATATATATTAAAAACATCATTCTACAGTCAGTTAACAGAAAGTCGTGTTACAATATAACATAACCGAAACGTAAATATTATTTATAGATGACTCTAAAAAAAGAATTAATTATTATTTTTTTTTATAAACAAAAAAAAAATTACACATGTATGTACTGTATATTAAAAGCTCCGAAATAATTATTCTATTAAGGTTTAGGTTAAATTTATCATACCAGTACATAAGTGTCTAAAATTTTTTTTTTTTAAAAAAAAATTATATTTTTGTATGATAAAAAATGATGCTCGGGAATTTGCTTGGAAATCAGCGTAAATCAGAACCTAAAGTGGTTCTTTTGATGCGTCTGTTAACGTTACTTATAATTTCATCATGTTTCATTTTGTATCTCGCGATGTTAATAATGGATGTGAATAATGAACTTCCTACGATTATAACTTCGGAAGTACCCGTGGGTTCGCTTGCAGTTCCCGGTAATAACTTGAACAAAGGAAAATTTTTTAGAGCCACCCCATCATAAATTAACCGTGACAATTAATCCAACATTAGATGTCGCGATTTCATTTGATAATCCATTTCATATTTATTGTACTTTTACATGGACGTATAATGGTATTTTACTTTAATTTCGCCAGTGTTTCTAAATATTCCGAATAATGATAAATTTATTTAATACTTAGAGGGTTATCACAGAACCGAAAATGAAACTTGTATAAATTACGTGACGTCTCCACAATTTATTCAAGGGGCATATCGAGGATATTTTTCTTTAACTGATAATTCAACTTTATTTACTTTCCCTAAATTAAATGAAGAACGGTTAGAAAGTCTAGCATTAACGGTGGTGGTTGATGATCCAAATTTTAATGCTTCTAAATTCAACCCCACGCCACCTTATGCATTTATTTTTGATTCAGGTAGGTAAATAATTCTATAATTCTTGCATGTAATATTGTTAGTGATTGATGTTTTTCATCTAGAAAATAATCCTTTAAAGTTATCGGATGGTACATTAAATTTAACAGTGTTAAATGTCTCTCAATCAACAAATTATGAACGAGAGTTATTATTTAGTAATTGGTTTGTAATGCCAGATCGATTGGTATGTTTTTTTTTTTCGATTCAAAATATTTTAAAAAATTTCCTTTCTTCTTATTATTATTATTTTTTAAAAAAAATAAATATAGTTAAATTTCGTACAATTTACGAAATATAAAAGGAAAAGTATTATTCCAAGCTGGCGAAGCAATTTTGGAATGTTTTTAAATTACGAAGATTATACTTATATTAAAGCATTATTGAATCGTAAGCTATTAATTATTTTTTTTGTTTGAAAAAAAAAGAGAAGGAATAGAAATTAATATATTTATTCTCTCTTTTTTTTAAAAAATATATATATATATATCCCGTGTAGAGATATTCCCTCTTGATATTGAAGAGGTTCAAACCGAAGATTATATTGGTATTATCCAAGTCAGACCAAATTCATTTGTTAACGTTATTGAAACTGAACAAAGGTGTCTTTTAAATTTTTTTTTTTTTTTTTTTCGCAATAAAAGCAAAATTTTTTTTCTTTGCCAAAACTTGATTTTTTCATTTGCTTTCTAATAGGTCTAGAACGGTACGTATTAAAATTTATATTATCAGTTATTGAATTTTTTTTTATAATTGTAAACTAATCAACATTGATCTAGTACGTGAGCATTTTTGGAGTTATCGGCGGTAAGTAAAATAATCCATTCTACTTTTAGGATGTGTGAACAATGTATCCTAAAACGATGTTCTTTTTATAATAGGTGCTTGGGGATTAGCATCAGCATTTTTATTTGGTATGAATCCATTGAAAAAAAGTTTTTTTTTTTTAAAAGTTTCATCAAAGAGCTTTATTTATTGTTAGGTGCGTCGTCAATTCAACCATGGGGATTTGTTCAATCACGTTGCTGCGGGATTAAACGAAAAACGCAAAGCAAATTAAGAGATTCATTATCGATTTTACCATTAATTGATTCGTCTTTATCCGATCGCAAAAGTATGGCAAAAGAAATTACCATGGGGGAGATGATGGAAAAATTAAAATCCTTAGAAACTTTATTAAGAGAGTACGTTATTGACATAAAATACTTACAAAGCATTGAAAAGCGTAGTAGTAATAAAGAGATCTAATGAAAATTTTACATCTCGGAAGTTTTATGTCTAAGAGAGATCTTCGATGAACTGTAATTATTGTAATTTATAAATTTATAAATGTATACAATATTTTTTTCTTAAAAAAAAATTATTTATTTTTTTAAATTATTTTTTACACCCCATTTAAGGGTGGGTTTTGTAGGAAAATCTTTAATCTTGAGAACCTGCAAATTGAAAAGTGTATAAAAAAGAAATCTTTGATCTAAAACTGAAAATTTTGATGTCGTATAAAAATTAAATCTCAATGTATATTAATAATTGTTTTATATGTTTTATATAACAAAGAAATATTTATAATTACACATTATAATGGAAGAATATTTTATATATAGGTTGTTGTTATACGATTACCGTTGAACTTTAATTAGTTGTTTATTATCCAATCTGCAACTTGTCTAACATTTCTCTTATAGCATTTCAAATTTTCAGTCTTAAAGTACTTAGATTTTAAAATATGTTTGTTCAAGCAAAGCTTTTCTACAAAATGATCTGAAATTGAATTTACAATATTTATTATTTACATCTATTAGCAAAAAAAAAAATGGTTAATTCGAAGAAAGCTTTGCCGATACTTAAAATACTGAAAGTCCAAAAAGAATAATAAAAAAATTCGAATTCAAAATTCAAAATCCACCATTTTATATTAAATTAGTATACGTCTCAATTTTATATATTTATCTGAAAATATTTTTTTTATTTACAATATATTTATACAAGTTTCGTCATTTAGCAGTTTGTTATAGATGTGATGCGCGCCCTTTTTATTTTATCATTTTTAAAATCAAAACCCTTTATAAAAAAAGATGTTTGAAAATTGAATTTTATTTGGCAAGATAAAGCTAATCGAAAAAAGAATAAATAAAATAAAAAGATTTCGAAAAAAATAAAAATATAAAGTACATCAAAATGAAAGAATAATTTTTTAACCATTTTTAATAAGGTACAAGCAAATTTTCTTTTGCTTCAATAACCCCATTTATCAAGAAACGATTTCAATGCTTATTTATTAATTACACTTAGCATTATCACCCCCAGGAGGAAATGAACAACCTTTCTTGCAAGGTCCAAAATGACAAATGTCTCCTGTTCCAGAGCATTGGTAGATATCATCCGCCGCCGCGCAACCTATTTCGAAACCACAGAAGCGACTTTGAACTTGGCCTGCGCATGAGCAACCGGCAAGATTCTTACAATCGCAGCCGCCACCGTCGGGAGTACAAATAGCAGAAGCATCAGAGATGAAAAGGACAAAAAGGCTCAGGAGACAAAAGATGAGAAGAGATCGGTTCATTTTCATTTTTTTTTCGTTTATAGCAAAGTTGTTGTTATTATTATGTTTTGATTTTTTAGATTGATTTTTGAATTGATTTTTTTTTTATTATTTTTAAGAGAGCGAATTCCAACGTCTATTTATATTGATTTTCCTCAAGCAAATTTCTTTTGCTTCGATTATGATATAGCTTGAGAAAATAATGAATCATGTGCAAACAAGGACAAAGCCTCTAAAGAATTATCAAGTTTTTGGAAAACAAAGAACATTAATAATTTCGTTATGACGTAAAATTGTTAAGTAACGACAAGAAAAGAAATTATTTATTATTATTTTTGGGATCTATTTAATTAACCAATTTTATCAGAACAAAGTAATATACTAAAGTTTTAGCGGAAAAATGACGCAGATTTACTTATATATAGATAAGATTTAGACATTTTAGTTTTGATAAAAATCTTTAAAATACGAGCATGTGTAACATGTATTGAAAGCATTACGTCAGTCGTCATATACCTTTTAAGTGAACTTCTAGCTAATTATTGTTTGATCTTAAAAAGGTTAATGAAATTTAATATACAAATTTTCAATATACATTTAGTGTAAACTTTTCGAAATAATAGAATTCTGTTTAAGTATCGACTTTATTTCAAAACAAAAAAAAATATTTATATGATTACAGTTCATTATGTTTAATTGTTGATTATTGAATTCCTGTTCAATATATGATGCCAAAAATAATTAAATAATAGTCATTTAGCATGAAATGCGGAATAAATTTTATCAAGAATTGCCAGATTCCCAACTTTAAAGCAGCCATCAAAAAAAGCTCAGGACATGTGATTATATATCTATAATGTGGCTAATTTTAATAAACCAACCTTTAACTTACGTTATCCCTAATCCCACACCATATATCACAATTAACCCTAATGCCACACCAAATTAAAATAGTCGTAGTTTGGAAAGCTGTGACAGATTATTATATATGTCACATGACAAGAATTTTTCACCCCACGTGATTTAATAAATTATTAAAATAACTTGTCACACCCTCCACTTTTCATTTTTATCATGCCTCCAAAGTCACGTGGGGTGAAAAATCTTGGTTAAAATGATGGAAAATTGATACGTGATTTCCCCAAATTTAGAGTTAATTGAATTTTTTTTAAAAAAAAACTCTGCATGGATGTTGTTACACTGTATAAATGAACTTCCTTAAATATGTCTTTTTTTTCCGGTTTTAAACTAAAACCTCTCTTTTTTTCCCTACTGATAAAATTTTTTTTATTAAAGAAACAAAAATGTCTAAACTTCCTGCTGACTGTTTAAATGAAATTTTTGAATATTTTGAAGACAAAGTTACCATACATTCGTGCTTATTAGTCAATCGACTTTGGTGTGGGGTCTCTATTAGAATTTTATGGAGAAATATCTTGAATTATAATACTTTAATTGCTTGCCTTCCCGACGAATCGATAGAAATTTTAAAACAGAAAGAAATTATTATTTCAACTCCATCCTTGAAACCCCCATTATTTAATTATATCACATTTATCAAGTACCTTTCAATTGATGAAATTAATGAAAGTATTAAAAATCTCTTCAAAAATCAGGAACCCACCTCACGAAGCGTTGTGGAACAGGAGATATTTAAAATGATTATGAGGCAAGCTTCTTTGAAAGAATTGAAATTTTATTATCATATTAATCATTTTCGAAATAGCACGTTTTCATCTTACCCTGGAGCAATAGATTGCTTAAAAAACCTTTCAACGTTTAGCTGTTATTCAGATATTTATCCCGAATTTTTTTATCAGCTATCTCAAATTTGTCATAATATACAATCACTTGGCGTACAATTTAGGAGTGACATTTCGAACGGATTAGCAGACCTAATTTCTGTTCAACAAAATTTAAAGTACTTGACCATCCACCAATCATACAAGTGTTTATCATATATAGTCCCTTTATTGACCAAACATTCAACCACCTTAATTAGATTACAGATTAATGGGACGGGAAATTATGAATCATTATTATTCATTTCTAATTTCATAAATTTACGAGAGCTCATATTATCATTTGATTACGAATATGTTTTTGAAGATTTTCGAACTTTACAAGATGTTACCTTTCCACGTTTACGTGTTTTAAAATTTCCGAATAAATGTCCGAATCATGAATACTTGATTAAATTTTTGGAGAATAATGGAAAGAATTTAGAAGAGTTTGATATTGATATTACCGATAATTCATTAAATTTAGCCATCGCTAAATTTTGTCCAAACCTTAAATCATTATTCACCACATTTTTGGACGATGAAGTCGACACGTTGAAAACGATTTTGCATAGGTGTCAAGGATTGGAAATTATTAAAGTTTGGTGCGGTGTTTGGCTTAGAGAAATCTATTTAGAAGAAATAGAATTGTTTGACGTTGTTGCAAGACATTCCCCTAGAAATTTTTGCGAGTTAAGATTATGTTATCCATACAATGTACAATTTGATATAACTTCGGTTGAATTGGAAACCTTTTTTCAAAGTTGGAAGGATCGTACGCCACGAAAATCACTTTCTTTTATGATCGTGGGATATATTTTAGAAGTTAAAGAAGAAATCATGAAAGTGATCGATCAATATATTAAATTAGGCGTTATTGATAAATTTAAAATCATAAAGGATTATGAAGAAAATTAGAGATTACCTGTATCACTAACAAAATGATTTGGTAAAGGCGCAGAAGTTATAATCAAATGTATATAGAGAGATTACAAATGAGCTTTACAATAAATCTCTATTCTTTAACAATTGAACTGATTTTTTTTGTTATATCACAGTTTTTCGATTGGAATTATTTCCAAAAGTCCAAAAGTAAACCCGCAGTATAATACCTTAATAAATCAGACTTATCATTAATATAAAATACCCACCGATCCACAGGTTGGTAACAAATTTAACACTTAAATATCTTTCTTTTTAACAACTTTAACCCATTTCAATTAATTTTTTATCAAAAAAAAAAAAAAAAAAAAAAATAGTTCGACATATCACCTGTTTAAATGAAATTTTTTGAATATAAAGTAATTCTACGTTCGTTTTTATTATCTCTGTTCGAATCTTATGGAGAAGCGTTTGGGACTATAATACTTTGGTCGCTTGCCTTCCTACCAAATCGAAAGAAGACTTGTAGTTGTTATCCAATTCCCGCATCCAAAATCCCTACTCTTCAACTATGTATCATTTCTCAGACGAATTTCGATTGATGAAATCGACAGAATGATTGCGAGTATTCTTGTATACAAACAATATGTTACTTCACGAAGTGTAATCATGCAAGAAGTATTTAAAATGATTATGAAACAAATTTATTTGAAAGAATTTAGCGTTTACTTTGTCCCAGACTACATTTCGGATCTAGAATTTACCACTTATCTAGAGCGACGGATTTTCCAAAAGATCTCATGGCATTGGACTTTAATTCGATGTATTCCGAATTTATTTAACAAACATCATTACAATAACATAAAATCAATCACGATAAGGTTGAAAGTGAAATTTAGCATCTTTTACGATGATATATGATAGACATAGCGATATCATTTCATCATTTCATCGGAATTAATTTATCCGTTTTAAACCTTTATGAGGAGTATTATTATCGAACGGTGTTATGTATCTCCAAACTTACAAATTTACGAGAACCCTTTTGATTCTCGATTTACCTTTAAAGATTTTGAAGAATTACAACATGCCGTCTTTCCAAAGTTGCGCGTTTAAAATTTCCGAATAAATGTCTGACATCTGAATACTTGACCGAATTCTTAAAAAAGGAGGGATTTTACATTGATACGAATAATTCATTAAATTAGGCCATAGCTAAATAATGTTCAAACATGAAACCATTATTCACCACATTCTGGATGGTGAAGTTGAAACGTTAAGGTTAATCTTGGATAATTGTCAGAAAATTATTTGAATGAAAAGGATTGATTTGATGAGGTTGCGAAATATTCTCCCAAAAATTTATACGAATTAAGGTTATGTTATGTTATCCTTATGATACGAAACCGAATCATTTTCTGAAAGAAAATATGAGGATAATTGAAAAATAGTAAATTAGGAGTTATTAAGGAATTTAAAGTTTTAAATGAAGAAAAAAAAATTATTAAAATTATTGTAATTAATTTATTTATTAACCTATTTTAAAATTGCAAATGAAATAATAATAAAATAATAATAATTAATTTCTAATATTAGTAAATTATGAACTTATAATTTTAAGATGTATTAATAAAACTTTACATGTCGCATCCGATGCGATGTTTTATTTCGCGTATAGCTTTTTTTTGTCACGTCCTTCGGAAGTATTATGTAAAGGGGTACTATAAAATGGAAATCGTGTGATCGGCATGTGCATAACATGACGAAATTCGTTAATCGAAACGAATTTCGTAAAGGAATATTGCTCAACGATTCGTTTTACATCATATCTTTACTTTTTGATCTTAAATTTATATATGGTAAATTAATCATTAACGTTATCGCAAAATCGCAAAATTTACAAGGTTGAAAAGCGTAAATTGAAGTAATCATAATTATCCTTACATGTGTTATGATTAATACAGTACAATAATATACAAGATATAAATTTAAAAGTGCATTTGTTTTTCTTGGGAGATTTGCTACGCCAAACATCACATAAAAATTGACCCATTTGAAAAAGAATTACCATATCAGGTATTTTTTTTTAATTTCAAACTAGTGTTAATAGCAGTTCTTTGATGTTTATGGGTTATAAACGGAGTTTAAAGGTAAGCAGAAGGTATCGTGTTTTATTGTTATATTTAATATAATAATCGGAATTTCAACTTTAATTCAACATAGATATCGTATTGCCTGCAACGTCGGCGCTCTATACGATCAGGTATGATAATTAATTATATCTTTCGGAGTTTATTATAATAAAAATGTAAAAGGGAATAATGGATAATGATGTATTCGTGTTTTAGGGATTTTATCAGACTTTTTCAAGGATTGGATAAACTGTTTATTATTACGGGTATTTAATTCTTTTTTTTATTGTGTTAAAACTGTTATATCTTTTTATTAAAGGAAATTCCGCCACTTATATACTAAATTTCTAACAGGACAATTATGGCCAGTGAACAGTTATGTCCAATGATCTTCGTTGCGCTAACTTAAATTTTGTTAGCCGAATTTCTTATAATAAAATCTTATAATAAAATAATAATAAAATAATAACAGTAATAACAATAAAATAATAATAACAATAAGCAATACATACTGTATATAGAAACGCTAATAATAAATACTATTAATAATAATAATAAAAAATAAAATAAAGAAGAAACTAATAATAAATGTTTATTTAATAAAATCAATATGTTTTTCGATACAAGTAATACATATAATTATTAAATGTAACACAACTTTCTTTAGATTATCATTTATCTTTTTATACTCTTAGAATTCTAATTAAATACAAGTTATCGAATTTTTAAGATTTTGGATTTTTAATGGAAATGCCTTCAATTTCAAAGAGAACTTGTCAATTGAAAAAAAGTACGTGAAATTAGAAAGCAAAGAAAAATGACAATAGGAAAAATAGTGGATAGGTAACAACGCAATTCAACATTTATCTGATAAAGAGGACGTTATTCAAAAGGTTTAAATAAAGGCAAACTTCTATTGCCATATCTTCAAAACAAAGCATACATTTTTATTGTTAATAGTTTTTATCATTATCAAGTGAGTCTCATAGAATTGGAACATATAATGCTTCATAACCAAACAACCAAGTTATTTATAAGGACAAATTACTTGGAGTTCAAATAAAGCACTTGCGAAATCAAAAATCACAACACATTTCAGAAATTCTCTCTCTAGTTCAAAAATCTTTAACAATGTCAAATGATGCATTTAAAAATAAATCAAAATTCTTTTATGATCAATAAATGAAAATATAGCAACTAGTATAAATAAAGCTCGAAAGATATCTGTTTGGATCGTCATTAATGCACCCATCATTTCATGAATATCTTTCTGATCTTTCTGCGGGATTATTTATGATCACGTACCGTTGAGTCGTGACCATTAGCTTACACATTTATGGAAGGTTGGTTGATTACAACTTTTGGATGCTTGTTAACGAATTCCTTTAATTTTTCGTATCCTTTCCCAGAATTACAATTTCCCGATTTTTTATCGTACCATATTTTGAGAAGTAAGATACTATTATTCAGACATGCACTTTTTTGATGCCGATCATGATTAACAAGTTACGCAATGAAATTATGGGGATTACTTATTTTAATCGTAAGAACATGCATATTTTATAGACAACGTACAGTACTGTACATGTGCGTGCAGAGTTAATTTTTAATTTACGGATAACTAATAAAGCTCTTTTTTAAAATTTTATGTTCACATACGTGATGTTAAACATTTGTTTCATGAATCTTTTCCTCCCATGTGATAACCCCTTGATGAAAATAACGTGTCCTAGTGCCCTGGATTTTACTAAGATCAAATTACATATAAAAAACATTTCTCTTTAATATTATTGTTTAAATATTATGAGTTTTAACACATGTATTGGACATTTTATTAGAGTCGAATGAACTTTATTATTAAAAGACATTTATTATTTATTTAATATGGGGATTAATAAATTAATGATTTGCCAAAAGAAAACATTTAAAATCAGGAATTTTAATTACACTGAATCAAAAAAATTTTACAAAGAAAATAAAATAAAAATAAAAAACTATCATTTGCCAATTTTAGCTTTTCATCATAAATATATCAGACATGAATCGAAATTTTATTTTTGCATTTATTTTATTAGTTACCATTTCTATAGTCAATGCTTCACCACTTCAACTTTCTGGCAAAAATGAAACCCAGTTCAAAGAATGCGAATGATATGACACACCACCAGACTTACTCACTGTGAAGTTAATACCTGATCCTATCAGACCTGGAGAGCAAACGTTCGAGGTTTTCATAACATTGAAGAATTATGATATCATAGAAGGAACCTCTTTTGATATTAATGTTGTCGATCAAGAAAGACCGAGAATGTTAGTGTCTTATTCTTTAGATCTTTGTTCACTATCTGAATATCCAATTAAAGCTGAATCAAAAGCTGGATCAACTTATTTCTCAATGCAGAAAATTACTTTACCAAAAATACTTTCTAAATATTTTATTAGGGTAGAACACTTTTTGAATGCACCTGATGTTACTGTCCTATTCTCTTGTGCAATTGCCATTATTGGTTAATTTGCGGTTATAAAAATTTATTTTTCTCCAAATTATTGATAAACTAATAGCTATTTTTATAACTTTACGTGACCTATCATCATAAATGATTTATGAATTATATTAAATCGGAAATCACGTTAAATTCATTGTTTACTTATATCATTTTATTGGATAAATTACTGTATTTCTCCTCTCTTCAACGAAGCTTATATATAGATGTAGAAGAGTTTATTAGAATCACCTTTTTTAAAAAAAAGATCTGAGATTCAGTATTAACAGTTATTATTTTCATAAGTTTGCTTTTTTTGGACAGTTCATGATTAAAAATATAAGAAACAACGTTGAAATCGAACCAACCAGAAAATCCAGAAATCCTAGAAATTCTATACCATAATTGCTTGGATAAAAAAAATGAGCAAGACACCCCAGCCTGACTTTCTAGTATATACACTCGAAGAAAGGTGAGCACCTCTATCCTTTTTCAGACTGTACAAAAAAAAAAGAGAAGGGTTTAACTCTTTGTATAGTTTCAGACTCGGAGGGGCTCGGTAAATTGATATATCAAGACTACGTCATCACCTTAACTCCTGCTATTGCTCTCATATGAGCAAATTGAAGAAAAACTCATAAAATCAGAACGTGAATTTATATTCATTTTGTCTCCTTGTCAGAATTATGGGATTAGCGGAACTCCTGACATCATCATTATTTCATGCATGCACGTGACAAGTATGCCGATAATGTGACACAATCGTCAATCAATTCAAAATAACTGGACATACTCAAACTTGGTTCAAAATATTTTTGTTTTTACGTATTGCTTATAAAACCTTTTTACACGCAGGCCGCTTTAGGAACGAACTTTTGTTTATCTGCCATTTCTTGATCTTGTATTAGTGGATCTTTTTACGCATGGTTGAGAAACTTTTATAACGAATATCTTCTATATAAAAAACTATAACATATGGCATGTCTCGACCGAAAGTATTAGAAAGACTTAAGGATATTTTTCAGCCAATTGCTTATGAGAGTAAATATTATTTTGTTTGTGTATTAGAAAACAACGTTGAGCAGGCTTGCGGCAAGAGAAGGGAAGGGGTTTTCATCAATAGAAACGCATCATACTAATCCGAATAGGATGAAAGATAAATGTAATGTCGATTACCAACAGCTGGTAAGCTTAATTTTTGGGGGTTTTTTTTTGAGGCAACGAAAAGATTCCAAGTGTAATTGACCCTAACATATACTCTATTTGTTTATATCCATCTTCTAGGCTTCTCACCGTAAACTGCAAATTAAAGGAACTGATGTCAGTTAAACTTGGTACAGAACTTAAACTTAATGCGGAAATAACGTTTGCTTCATCCACTTCGAAGAAAGTTTTAGGTAAAGTTGGTTTTCTTCTGAGGAAGACTCTCACCCATCACTTTTAGAAGGATTTTGAGAAAGCTTTCACCCTTCCTTTCGAGGAAGATTTTTACTGATGTATTGAATACTACTAATAGTCTTTTCTATTTTTAGAAACTCAAATACGCAGTGTTGTCATGGGACACGAACACGGACATGAACCAGACTGGACTGGACTGTCTGAGATTTTTTTATGTCTGTGACTTTTTGTCCGCATTAATGCTCGCCATATCTCTTATTAATTCTGGCCAAAAGATATCTAATATCCACTGTCCTGCGGATACAGTCCCGGACATGGACTTTCGGATGTCCCGTGTCCGCCAAAATCACCGGGACAACGTCCGTGTACAACACTGCAAATACGTGTTGTGGATATGAAGGAAAAGTCAGTAATTTTTATAGGGCCCATAAAACAGATTAAACCGGAAGGACTTGAAAAGTGGCTGAGAAAAATCACACTAGTTGCGTTTGTTCATATCATTAAGAAACCCGCTAACGGATAAGTACTGTACATATTTAATAAATGTGATATTGAAGGAAATTCTAACATATGTCTTTTTTAGATGTAGACACCTGCACTTTAACTCCTATCAAGAATCAAGCGCGTTCTACAATCTAATGAAACGACGTCGTCAAAGATGGGCCATACAGTAAAATCTGATTCATTGCGTCACAATATTTCTCAACTAAAATACAAGTAGCTTATACCCTTCAGACATTTGATATCGTTTTAATATTTTTATTTACTTGGACATTTAGAATACATATAATAGTAGTGAAGGCAGAAAAAGAAAATTAATCGAAATTAGAACAATGAAAACGACGAGCAACCTTTAAACCTTCCATATGGTTTTTATGAGTCAGATTTAGTATTGTTGACTTAGCGACATGAACTAATAATTTATGTTCGATTTTCTTTTCAGTATTGCATGAGTTTACTATTGTCATAGATACTTCAAGTGTTAAAAATAAGGAAGAAATTTCAATCTCTGTCCGAAAAGATCGTATCATCAATATCAAAGGAAATTCTCGTGATACTATTCCTGGAAAACAGCTTGATAGTAAAAATTCACTTAGGAAAGGAAATTCGACATCGAAGTTAATTTACAAAAAAGTAAGTTATCATCAGGAAAACTGAAAAATGTAATATTTACGTAATTTTTATAGTAATGCATTAATTTTATATAATATATTATGT